GTCCAGTCTGAAGCCTACAGTGGATAATGGAAGGTATATCACAGCAAAAACAACCGACTTGGAAAATGATCAAGGAGAGATAAATACATGAAACATTGGACTACCTAAAAGTCATGACCAAAAAAAGGGGGGGGGGGCGCTAAGCATAATATTTCAAAAAGTTTTAAAGGAAAACTATCCAAATGTCTTACATCCAGACAGCATAGTGAAAATAGAAAGAATCCAAAGTTAACCCCCCTAATTAAAACTGCCATGAACATTATAGCTAAAATTCAGTGTTTCCAATACTGTAAACAGCCACAAAGAAAGACTCCAGTACTGAGTAGCCACAATCAGGATCACAAAAGATTTAGTAGCTACCAATATAAAGGAGTGGACCACTTGGCTTATGAAATTCCAGAAGGCAAAGGATATGTTTCCAACTAACAACTTATTTAGCAAAACTGAGTACAATCCTATATGGATAGGGTAAAGTGAGGAAAAAATTTCAATTTCATTTCATTTCAATGAAATAGAGGATTTTTAAGCTTCCTGACGAAAATACCAGAGTTACATAGAAACTTTGAAACACAGGACTCAAAAGAGTTAAACATAAACAAATAGCTATAAGGAACTAAACAAGGACAAACTTCCCGTATTCTGACATGAAAAGATGATTCTTCTTAGAACCCTTATCAGGGTTCATAGAGGAACTCTAAATAGACAGAAAGCCTTGGAATAGTTCTGTTATGTGTTGATGATCTGAAGAGAAGAATAGAAAGAACTGTCCCTTAGAGTATTTTTAAACTTTTTTTTCTTTTTAGTATGAATTGGACAAACATGAATATTTCAATACACAAAAACCAGAAAGTTCAAATGCACCAGTGCATTTATCATTTAACAGATATTTATTAAGGAGCTCTGCTATGCCAAGCCTGTGCTATTCTTTGGGGGAGACATTAATGAATGCATGATAAAGCGCTTAGTAAGTGCTTGCTTACTATATACCAAGTACCATGCTAAGTGCTGGAAAAGCAAAAAATAAACATTAAAAAAAACTCTGCTCTCTGTGACTAATTTCAGTGTTCCCCAACCTAATTTGAGGAAACAATATACATTACTAGAGCTCAGCTACAAGACAGACAGAAAGGTCCAGAAGTCCTAAGGACTACTAGCTCCATTACACCTAGGAAACCACTTAACTGCTCTCTGCCTCAATTTACTCATTTGCAAAATGAAGATAATAATAGTACCAACTTACAGGGTTGTTGTGAGAACCAAATGAGATAACATTTGTGAAGTGCTTTACACACCTTAAAACACTAAATATAAATGCCAGCTATTATTATACTCATAATGCAGCTTTCAATTATTCTTTAGATTGCCTGTAATTTTTATTTTTCTGAGAAACCAGAAGATAAAGAAATAGCAGCTAATGGAACGATTGCTCATAGGCTTTGTTTAGAGAGGTTAATAAAGAACTTGATGGTGATATATACAAATATATATATATATATATATATATATATATATATATATATACACACACATATACATGGATATACAATATGTGTATGTATGTATGTGTATGTATATATTATATATATTTGTATATGTGTGTGCATATATATATATATGTACATATATATATATTTCAAGGGCATTTGTTTATCTTATCATGATACGCTTAAGCAAACAGTAAAATAATTACTCCTTATACACCACCTTCTGTTAGAAAGGAAATTCATGCCCCCTTTATTAAGGAGATAAATTCTATGAAGAAATTAATAATATCCTCCAAAATAAGTTAACATGTAATTCAAACTAAAGTGTGTATGAAGTATGGAAAGCGTGAAGATGGAAACCAAGAAGAGAATAAACTACATAGGAAATGATGATTTTGGACCAAGAAATGGAAAGGTTGGGGGAGGGGGGAAGTGTGAAAGTTTTATAAATTACCCAAGAGTCTCCTCCCTGTACATCATGTATATAGTCTTAAGGAGAAAACAGGAAGGCAGTGGGTATGATAAGTGTTATATAGTCTTCACTAAAAATAAATAAATAAATCTATCATTTATATTGATATTTTCTTTTGATGAGGCATTGCCATTAGTAGATTTCCAAAGCAACAATTTGTCCCCAGCACCTTCAACAATTCCAATCAAATGAGTGCATTTAGTTATAGCGGTTGCTTCAGCCACTTGCAATGCAAAATTGGAAGATGTAGTCTGTCATTCAATGGATAACACAGATCTTCAGACACAAAGGCGACTGACCTTTTCACCTCATCATCTAAAACCACCAAATCTAAGATCTGAGGACACAGATTCCAATTGCAGTGTCACTTCCTGTATCACTGTAAGTCATTTAATCTCTTAAGGCTTCATTTTCCTCAGCTACAAAATTAGAAAGTTGGTGGGGCAGCTCGGGGGTGCAGTGGATAGAGCACTGGCCCTGGAGTCAGGAGGACCTGAGTTCAAATTTGACTTCAGACACATAACACTCACTATCTGTGTGACTCTGGGCAAGTCATTTAGTATCAAATTCAAGTAGAAAGTGATCCCCACTGCCCTTATGCTGATTTAGAAAAATACAAATTAACATTATGCTATATTGTATTTTTATTTATTTTGATCAAAATTTCCCAATTATATTTTAATCTGCTATTGTCACAATAAGGAGTTTTGCCAGCTCTTGATACTTTTGTACTAAACCTAGTTGCTTTTCAACTATACAAAGAAAAGGGCACAAAGTGGAAGCTTAATAAATGCTAGTTCAGTTTAATTGAGGGAAGGAAGATAGGCCAAAGGTTAGTAAAAAGGGCATACACAGCCAAAGGATTTTCTTCACTTTTTTGTTGTTTGCTGATTTATCTGGTCCTTCTTTGTTAAAGACTAAGGAATTAGGGTGAGATTTTGTGCTCTTTATCATGTTTATTTTTTCTTAACTATTAAGTTTATTTATGTACATGTACACATAAGAACACATCAGACTCCTTAAAGTAAGTATCATTTATATTTTCATTGCATACACCTCACTCCAACCTAGTATACGTATTTACAACTCTTTTTTCCTTTGATTTTTAATTATTTGTCAAGAGGGATATCATGTTCCCTATTTCCCCTTCTTGACTGTACTAAATACATTTGCAAAATGTTTATTCCCCTTTAATTGATTTCCTTAGGAGAATGAGTTGTTTCTAAGTCTTTCGATTCCCTTTGGCTTTTTAATCAAAGACATAAATGCAGCTTTATTTTTTATTTCCCATGTGAAAATGCATGACTAATTATTCATTGCTGTCATCTATTATCTGGGGAAAATGATATTAGAGGGTTTTTTTAAAAGATTTTTTATGCTTTAGGCCCTCTCAAGAAAAAAAAATAACTTTGTACCATTAGTTTAAAAATTGTTCTGGAACTTGAGATCCTGGCTGCTCAGGAAAACAGAAATGTGTTTTGTTTTTTGTTTTTTGTTTTTTTTTTCCAGTGGAGATACTGACTGGAAATCTACTCTTTGTATAAATCTCAGATCTACATCATGAATGACTAAGGTTAAAGAAATATTTTAAACTTCTCGTTTGGGCAAAAAAGTTTCTGAAGAGTGTGGATATCTTTGAAGATAGTCAACTTCAAAAAGATAGCATGAATCTTGGAGTGCTGAAAATGTATAACATTAAATTTTTCCTTTAGCTAAGCTGCAAATGAGAAACTCTGTATGTTCTTTATATTTAATGTTTCATAGTTTCCTATATTTTATTGTGATCATCGTTAAAAAAATTATCTGGACAACATAAACACCTTAGTCTTAAATATAAAATCATGATAAAGTTTTAAAAGCCTCACACCATGTTGAATATTACCAGCTATTATCCTTAATTCTCTTTCTTTAAAGAATGATTTGTGGGTTTGGTTGTCTGTCATTGTGAACTGTAGTTTATTTTTAAATAGGAACTAGCTATTAGCACAAAACTTATCAACCTATTGCAAATGATAGCCACTTTTTTGTCTTTTCTGTCTACTGTAATATATGCATCCCACAATGTAAGCATTGTGTAAAGCACATTAAGGACTCCTTATATAATAACATCTAATTCTATAATTCCAATAATTTCTGATTCATTTCTTGTTCTCAAAAAACAAACCTATAAAGCAAACTAGATTTCAAAAATAACATCAAAATAGGAGGTATTTGCTTGTTCTCTGGAAGATATAGTTAGAATTCAAAATAGTTTGAAGAATCAGTATGAATAGTCATGCTTGACTGGAATGAATATGCTAGGAGGAATTTTTTATAATGTAGCTTACCGTGGCATTGGGATCAGATCATCTAGTCAAGAGAAGATTGGCATTTGAGTGACAATAAAAAAAAGATATTTCTTTTCCAGGTTCACTTAAATTAAAAAAAAAAAACAGAAAAGAGACTACCCCAATGTTTGAAGAACAAGTTTTGGAATGTCAAGTTTTTGATGCTAGATTGGATCACTCAGGGAATATGAACATATGTGCTGCTTTTTCAGAAACCTTTAAAAGATAGACCTTTATCAGGAATGATTTGTTGGCATGTGTCTGTCACGCTAGAAGGGAAGACTAGTTGGTTTGGAAAGCCCTTGCCAGCATTCAAATTCCTAGTGTCTAGGTCACGTTACACATAAGGTAATTGCATTCTAACTTCAGTAATTATAGTTATCTGGAATTCCTCCTGTTCTCCAAATTGAATAAATAATCCTTTTTAAAAACTCATGGGATACTTAGTGTTTCTAGGGCACTATGACACTTGCCATTTATCTCAGTGGTAACAGAAAGAATTGGCCCAGTGTGTTAGATCTTTGGTAAAGCAAAATGTTTTTATTAATATGATTGCTGTGTATGATTTTCTATTATTGTCCTATTAATCACCCTCCTAATGGAAGCTATAGAGTGAAATTCACTTTGAATCATTAAGTGAATAACCCCTGTCAACCTCAGAGGTGGCCTAACATATTTTTTCCTCTTTACTGTTAATATTTCACTGTGTAATTACAGCTCCCAATCCGTGTGCAGCTAATGATGGCAAAGGCCCATGCTCGCATATGTGTCTGATCAATCATAATAGGAGCGCCGCTTGCGCCTGCCCCCACCTGATGAAACTGTCCCCAGACAAAAAGACATGCTATGGTAAGGTTCTTCAAGTGTTTATCAGAAATCCAAATATTAAATTGTTTTAGATTGTATAAACATTTAGATTTTTATACCGACTGAAGCAGGAGAGGATTTGCCATCCCTTGAAAATGTTTGAGACATTGCTATTTCTAGCAATGTTGATGATTCATCTACTTTTAGAAAGATTGGCAGACATTTTAAAATACGCAATATGGGGCACTCCGCTGTTTATTACCTTATTCATGTTTTCTGTTACTTTTGCTTTTGGTGTGTTAGCAGAATTTATCTCAGGGAAACAGTGAGATTTATAAGTGTAAATTGTATCATCAAAAAATGATGATGCAGGTAGCCTGCATAACAAAGAAGTATTTAAAAGCTTTAATCTCTGCCTGCACTTCATGTGAAGTCATTTTTGGATCATTTTAGTGGGGGGATTAACAATTTAGAGGGAAAATGGGGTACAATATATAACTTTGCAAGATGTAAAACAGATTTTAAATAGCACATTTATATAAAATTTATGAAAACAATTATGATAGTCTTATTTTTAATAATGAAAAGTGTATTTGTAACCTCATGTCTTAAAAAAAAAAAAGAAGGGGGAGGGCAGGGGAGAAAGATTTCCAAAGCTTAAAGCAGTATCTTAGTCACACATTTTATGATTTTTATAGTTTTAAGTCACTTATCAAAATGAAATGATACATATGTAATATAATAATAATAATAATAATAATAATAATAATACATTTTAATCTAAAGAACAAAAAAGAATTAAATATTAGCAAAGCTTCTTCCTATTCAGATTCCAATTCACTGAAAGGAAGGTACCTATAAATTCAATATGATGAAAATTCTTTTCATTTGTGTTTACAGGCTAAGGAGTTGTGATTTGGAAAGTAAATGCAACCCTTTGAAGCCTAGTTTTAGAAAATTGCAACCAAATGTGATTTCCTAAGTAACTTATGAGCTCATTGTAATTCAATGATGGTATAAGAAATGATTTCTTAGATTCTTCCAAATTCCATTCAGTTTAAAATAAGACTCAATTATGATATCATACAAAGAACAAATTTAGACATTTGACATTTTTACAGCTTATATATTTCAAGATATATGTTTATGTTATTTGCATATGCATTTGATATAGCTTGAACTCCTTACTTATTCTAGAAGAAAAATGATGAAAAATTCTAGGTTTACAAGTTTATTTCAGTGAAGAGTTAATTAAATTTGGGTAAGTTATAAGCATTATATTCTCCATTTTATATTAATTATTGCTTTCAGTAATTAAAAAAAGACATGTTAATCAATCATGTGAAAATAGGCTTTCCAGGATATTTGAACCTAATGAACTTTAAATAAAAAAATATGTGATTTCTTCTTTCCTTTTCTAGAAATGAAAAAATTTCTTCTTTATGCAAGACGTTCAGAAATAAGAGGAGTGGATATAGATAATCCATATTTCAACTTCATCACAGCTTTTACTGTCCCAGATATAGATGATGTCACGGTGATAGACTTTGATGCCTCAGAGGAACGTTTGTACTGGACGGATATAAAAACACAAACTATCAAACGTGCTTTTATTAATGGGACTGGGTTAGAAACTGTTATCTCAAGAGGTAAATACTCAAAGAATCGCTGCCACAAAGTAGTTGTTTGTAATCACTTTCTGTTTTGATGCTTCACATTTGTGTCTGTTGCTCCATTTTTGGAGAAGCATCAAAATAGTTGATGATGCATTTATACATACATACATACATACATGCATGCATACATACATGCATATGTATGTGTAGTTATTTACATTTGAAACTCCTTTTCTAGTTGTTACCAATTTCCAAGACATATTTTTACTTTTCCCCTCCATTTTGCCAATAAAAGGTTAAAAGAATCATTGATTTCGAGTTGGAAGGACATTAGGGACTATTTAGTACAACTCTCTTATTTTTATAGGTGGGGAAATGAGGATGGCCATAAAGGAGCAGTTACCAGCCTGAAGTCTCAAAAGGAATAAATAAGAGAACCAGCATTTGAATACATGTCCCACAACTCAAAATCTAGCACTTTCTCCCATGCCACCTGCTTTTATACTTATGATTAAAACAGAGAAGAAATGACTCTTCAAATTCTTCATTAAGAAGTGAGAGATTTAAATCATATATTGGACATTGAAGTTGCAATTACAAATATCACTTCAGTCATATCAAGAAGGATTTGAGGATTCAAAAGTAGAAATTTCAGAAGGAACTTCCTTACCATTGGAGTCCTCCTGAATTAAGAAAAATCTAATTTTCTTATCCCTTTCTTTCCCCACCTCCTCTCTCACTCCCCACTCTCTACATACGTTAGTCAGTATTTATACTCATGGAGTAGAAGAAAGTTGATGACAGCCATTTCCTTAGGTCTCACTCTAGCTCGCTATTTATTATTAACAGCAACAACAGCTAACATTTATATGTGCTAGGAACTCTGCTAAGCGCTTTACAATTATTATCTCATTTGATCCTCAAAACAACCCTGGGAGGTAGATGCTGTTCATATCCCCATTTTATAGAATAGGAAAAATCCTGAAGATCCTCCTGTAGATGAGGAATCTCCTAAAGACTCAGTCCTCATGAGTAATGCACTTCAAAGAGTGGACTGGTATAAACTCATTTAATTTTAGATAACTGAGGTACAATGGTGTTCTGTTGAATTGCGAGGTGAAAGGTCTCACAGAATTAAAAAGATCTGTGTAGGTCCTGGATTATCACCATGGCTTTGAGGTTGATCAGGCTTACATGCATTCCTTCATACTTTCATTCAGTCATTAACAAACTGTATTGAGTACTTACTATATATCGGATACTGTGTTAGGCAATACAAGATGATACAAAAATAAATAATGACATCTTCATTCCCAGTTTCCGAAAACTTATAGGCACTTATCTTAATTTGGAAGTGGAAAAGAGTTACCCACATAAATGTACAACATAGCTATGCTTTCAAAGACATGTGATTTTATTGTTGGGAGAATTTCTTCCACTCCTGTAATATAACTCCTAATCTTAGAGAACTGCAAGAATATCAGGGAGGTTAAGTGACTTGCCAAGGATTATACAGCTTGTATGTGTCAGAGGCAAAATGTCAACTTGTTTTCCTGACTTTCAGTTTAGCACACTAACCATACTAACCACTCTGCCAGACTTCTTCTCTGCTTGAAATATAACATTTTATATTCACTTAAGACTTGGGCTGGGACCTATTGTTAGCCAATCAATGAGAGCCAGCACTAACTTGGGTTTAAAGCATGGTCTGATGACTTTGCAAGTCATGGTATCACTTTTCTGATGCCATGGTCCTCTTCAAGAAAGAAGGACAAACAACAACAACAACAGCATAACATTTTAGATATCACCTATTAATTGAAATGTTTCCATTGATTTGCAATACTAATCAGCACCAGAGGTATTGCATTAGTGAATGCGTGAACAAATGAATGAAAAAAAAATTTAGAATATCTTCTAAACCTAAGACACCTCTCTAAGCACTGGGAATAAATAACGAAAAGTAACCAATCCATTGCTTTTTATGAGATCACCTTCTAATGGGGTCAGGAAAGTTTATTTGGAAGTCAGATGCAAAAGTCCCATGTATTTGTTTCAAAAATGTCTATTTCACCAAGAGTTAAGAGAAATCCCTCTCCACCTGAGAAGTTACTTGTTTTCACCATTTCATAAGGATTCCCCCTACCACAATGAAAGAGATTTGGATCATTCTGCCACTAGAAGCCACTTAAATCACTTAAAATACCAAGTATAGTAGGGAAGGCTTTAAGAAGAAATAGGGATAAGGATAGTCTTTCTTACACATGGCTGGTTGCTGCAAATTCCAGCTTTGCTGGAAAATTCTCTTTCTTTCTTTTCATTTTTTTCAAATTTATTATTTATTTACTTTAAACCTTTTTTTCAAATTTTGAATTCTAAATTATCTCCCTCCAGCCCCTCCCCCCATTGAAAATGCAAACAATGTATCAATTATACATGTGAAATCATTTGTAAAACATATTTCCATATTAGTCATGCCACAAAAAAAGATCAAGAAAAATAAAGTGAAAAAAATATAATTCAATTCGTGTGCAGAATTCATCAGTTTGGAGAGTTCTCTTTCATAGCTTCATGTGGTAATAGCTTTTCATGGCTTCTCTTTCAATTAGGATGCTCACCTCTCCTGAAATGTGAGGAGCACCTCTTCCTACCTGCTCTATTACTAATCATCATCTTCTAGCTTCAGAGGTATCCCTCAGCCTGTCTGAAAGCTTAAAATAGGCATCTCACAGCTCACCTTCTAAAAATTAAGTTTGCTGAAATATGATGAAGTGAACCAAGGGCTGTGCATATTTCTGTAAACATCTTTTTCATCCATTTAGACCCTGATTCTCGCTCTTCTACCTCCCACTTCTGACCTCATTAACTGTTCTGCCAAAGCTATCAATCAAGCTTTCTTCTAGAGGACTTAAAAATATTTATTTTAAAAAGCATTTATTATTGCTTCCTCCCACTGTGTCCCCCCCAACTCCCACAGGAATAATAGTCCAGTAAAACAAATTACCACATTGGCCATGTCCTCAAGTTGAAATCTCATTCTGTATTTTAAGGCCATCATCTCTCTGACAAGAGGTGATAGATGGGTGTTCTGTTTCTGATATTTTTTTTTATCCCTTCCAATCTAACTTCACAATGAGATGATGGTGTAGTGAAAAGAACATTGGACTAGGAGTCAGGAGACTTGGGTTCTAATCCTGGCTCTGCTTCTCACTTGCTGTGCTAGCTTGAAAAAATCAGTTTCTCGTCCCTAGGTTTCAGTTTCATCATATATAAAATGAGGGAGTCGGACTAGATCAAAGAATATTTATGCAAAGCTAGGTGGTGGAATGGATAGAACATCTGGCCTGGAGTTAGGAAGAACTGAGTTCAGACCTGGCCTTAGAAACTGACTAGCTGTGTGATCCTGAGCAAGTCCCTTAACCTTGTTTGCCTCAGTTTCCTCATCTGTAAAATAAGCTGGAGAAGGAAATGGCAAACTATTCCAGTATCTCTGGCAACTAAATAACCAAATCAAACTGTTTTACTAGGAGCATCTCTTCCTCACATTACACCATTTTGAAGTACGCTGTTCATACAGACCATGATGTATAGACCACAGTGTTTGTGAAATAGTGCTTCTTTAATATTTGTGGGCTAGCTTTAACTGTTAAGTCTCACCGGCAACTCTCTGTAACTAAAATTTAGTTATAAAGAATTACCTGGGGGACTGATAAATTAAATGTCCTGAACAATGTTACACACTCAGTATGTGTCAGAGGTAAGCCTTGAACCCAGGTCTTCCTGAATCTGGGGTCATTTCTCTGTCTACTACCACTAATTCAGGGCTGTCTTTCGTTGGGTTTGATATCCATTTACTCAAAGAAATTGTATTGATACTGAATACTATCAACTCCTCATTTTGAGTGATACCATATTTAATTATAGCATTAATATCAGAATTAAAAATAATTGTTCTTTAAAAATTGATTCAGGGAGAATGAAAGAAATAAAAGCTGAGGCCTACAATTATGATGAGGAAAAGAATAGATGAGAGTAGTAGACCTAAAACAAATACCACCCGTTCAGGGACTACCAACTTTGACCAGCGTTTTTGAACATCATACTTTTTTTTTTTTGATCATCAGAAGCTTTAACTCTATTCTTTTTCTTTCATTTGATGGACAAGGTAAAAGGATGGCTTATTCATCTCCCTTGTGGTATACTAGTTCTAACCTCAGACATAAGAACTTAAGAGGTCCTCTAATAGAAATAATTTTAATGCTCTTGAATACTTAGAGGATTGGTGTCTTCTGGAGATGTCATTCCCTAAGATAAACTTTAATTTTTCCCCCATCGTTTGAGTACTGGAAGAATTTAAACACCACTCCCCAAGCTGTTGAAATCTCTTCCTTCTTAAAACTCTTGTCACTGACTTCTGTGATGTTATGTGGATTCTCTATCTCACTGGACACATACCTCACTGTCCTTTCCCCCTCTCCCTTAACTTTCTCTCACTCTCTTTTCCCCCCTTTCTCTGCCTGTTCTCTCCCTTCTGCTACCCACTAAATTAAGGTATTCCCTAAGAGTCTATCTCTCCTTTTTTCTTGTCCACTTGTCCATTTACCCAAGCATATTCCTATCTTCAAACCTGTACCTATTCTTGACTTTCTTATTTTGTTCATTTCAGCACAGTCTAGTCTATCCTCCTAGTCTATTTTGAGAATACTATGTCCTAGCAAAGCATCCCTAGACTACATTCTATTCCTTTCTGGCCTTGCTAGGTAACAGCTAGCTAGTCTCATTACCTGTGTGCTAAATTGTTAACTGGTTTCAGATAAGAAACATTTTAGTGGGGCCCTTCAGGAGGCATAAAACCTTAATCCCAAGGAATAGTTCAGTGGTTAAAATTTCATTCACAGGTCAATTGTGAAAGAAATTTATGGGGAGTTGTCAGTCCCCAGAACCCCTCAGATTTACATGAGCAGTTGCCTAAATCACCTACTCTCAAGGCCCTGCTTGTTTCTATATACGGAAGAAGTAGTCCATGTCAGCCTTCATTTATACATTTCCTAAAAATGTCCCATTAAGAGATTTTTCTTCATGTATTATATATTTCCCAAAGAAGTGAGGGGAGTATGCAAAGTAAGTTCTAAGGAGTGTAATGAATGGGAAGTATCGTAGGTCTTTGGAAATTGCAGACAACACATTAAGCAGTAATGGAAAACATTCAAACATCCTAGGTCAGAATGCTTCTAAATTAGCACTCTTTTTACCTTAATGCTTTCTAAAGCTTTTTAGACTGTTTTTTCCTTCTAATTAAAACATGTGGAGTTTAGATCCCTTAATTGTATGATCAAGGAACAGCAAACCAAATATTCAGGTTTGATTTAATGAATCCAATCTTAATTAGAGCTCAGTAATTTGTCTTAGGAATGTTAAAAGACTTTCCTCCCTTTCTATCACTGTCAATTCCCGTTAATTACCTACTTTGAAAGATGTGAAACTCTTCTGAATCTTTTAGAAGTTGAATCATTCCATCTAATTTCTACATAAAATAGGCCTATGCAGGTCTACAAAATGGCCTTTTTTAAATAATGCCAATTTTCCTATGGAGATGAAAAAAATAATCAAATTAGTTTTGGGAGGTAAGGTACGCAGCTCATTTGTTATTGACCAGAAAATGCTTTTTTCTCCAAATAAGAAAAATGTGCTACCAACTGGAGAACTGATTACCCTGATTTGCATTTGGGTCGCCTTGGACAATGAGATTACTGGCCATTTTTATTCCAAGAGTTTACTAGTGACTCATTGACTGTTAGTGTAATTTCAATGCTAATTGTTGCTTCAGGTTTTCAACTGGCTTAGCAGTAAGACATTAATGATTATTCATACCTCAAGAAGGTATGAATGAGATTGCAATCTTGTACAATTTTAGCTAACAAATTAAAGTGTAAATTAAATTTTTTCTGAGAAGGAAAATGACTTAGTTGGGAGAGCCAACAGAATGAGGAACTTCATTCACTTTTAATTTTCTCTTTCCTCTCTTACAGATATTCAGAGCATCAGAGGGCTAGCTGTGGATTGGGTATCCCGAAATTTATACTGGATTAGCTCAGAATTTGATGAAACCCAAATTAATGTGGCACGATTAGATGGTTCTTTGAAAACCTCAATTATTCATGGAATTGACAAACCACAATGCCTTGCGGCTCACCCAGTCAGGGGGTAAAGTATGATTGTTTCTAGATTTTCAGAAAACTCTGCCATAATTTGATATCAAATATCATGCAACTATGCAGTAGGCCTTAAGTATAGGACTTGGGGGCTAACTAGCAATTTCATCTCTGGAATCTAACAAGATGGATAGCAATAGGGATCACAGTTTTCTGAAAACTTTATAAAAACAAATATATACTTGTAGCATTTTATTAACTTCTATTTCTAAAATTGGAAGGAAAGAAATATAGAGAAAATGTTGATAAAATTAAGATTTACGGTATGTTGCTTTATGATTACATTATTGCATACATATATTATATACATTCATATATTATATATTATTTAATTTCTAAAAACATAAGTTGCAGCAAACCTGTCAACCTGCTTTAGAGTTTCTTTACCCAGGAGTTTAAACAATAATAATAATAATAATAATAATAATAATAAACAATAATAATACTTACCTTTATATAGCACTTATATGTGTCAGGTACTGCGCTAAACACTTTGCAATTATTATCTCGCTTGATTCAATAATCCTTGGAGGGAGGGGCTATTATCATCCCCATTTTACAAATGTGGAAACTGAGGCAAGCAGGGGTCATGGAGTTTCTGAGATTGGGTTTGAACTTAGGTCTTTCTGACTCAGAGCCTGGTGCTCTATCCAGTGTACCACCCAGCTGCCCCCAAAGTCTCCATAACACTGAAATCACAAGACTGGATCCTGTCCTAGATAGTACAGAGAGGAACAAATAGATAGAAAAAAAGATAAACAGATCTCATCAGCCTTGTTCTCTTATTCGTTGTTTCAAGAGCACAAAACTATGAAAAGTAGTTTGTTAACACTTGGAAGGCTTTGTTTCTATTTTCATTCTTTCTTGGGAATATTTATTTATTGTTGCCTTTCTTTTCCACACGGCTCTCTTGATGGCCCGTCATGGCTTCATAAACAGCAACAGGGAGAATGAGAATGAATGCCCCATAACTAATTTTGGTTGCAGGATAATGCAGCAACCATTATTATAAGACAAGCCTAAATTAGGATTAGTCCAACCCTTTAGGTTCAAGGTCTTAAAATGCAGTAGGCATTCATGAACCATAAAATTCAATTACAAACTACTTTAATAATTAGGAGCTAAAAGAACACACTTTAAAAGATGTAACATTATAATAAAACAATCTGGCTCTTCCTGCAGCAGCACCACAGCAAAAAGCCGGGAAAGCATTTCCATGAATGTAACAAGAAGCAAAGTGGAACTTGAAATCACAATTCTTCCGGTGCTGAGCTATTTGTACCTTAGGCAGCAAGGAAACAAAATAATCTCCTTACCCCTTAAAGACCAGCCTAGCTCTAGCCCTAGTACCTATGTGTGTATGTATATATGTGTGTATGTATGTGTATATATATATATGTATGTGTGCACACACATATACCTATATATACATATTCATACATGTATGTATACACCCATATATACATATATGTGTGTGTATTTATATTTGGCATCTTTTATTCCAAGTACCTTAAATGAAATAGGTGCTTCTACTGCACATACCAATAGTTTCTTGGGTTATTAACATCACATTGGAGAGATTCTAATTCTTTCTCCTGGGGCAAAACCAGTTGCTGAAAAAGGTGAGGATAGCAGCTAGGCAATCATCCACCTTGCACAAGGGAATGTGAAGAAGCAGGATTGGTTTGAGAGTAGAACTGCAGAGGCATCAGGAAGTCTTGGGGCACTACTCCTTTACTCTCTTTCTCTGGAACAAACTTCCAGACATCTAGGCTAGCTTTGGCTTAGATGTAGACCAAATATGGATGTAGACCCTGCTTGATATAGACCAAATATGGAAGTTTTTTTTTTTAATTGAAGAAAAAACATTTTCCATGGTAGATGGTCTCAATAAACCCGCAAAAAAAAAAAAGCCAGACTGCCCTTCCTTATCCCCAATAGATGAAGGTTTGAATGCCCTGTATGATTCTGAGTTTATTATGTTCCTTAATGGTCTTTTTTTCTTCTATATTCAACACTATAGATAGGTCTAGCAGGCCTTATATTTGATGACTTCCTTTTTCTTTTTAAGGAAACTTTATTGGACTGATGGAAACACTATAAATATGGCAAATATGGATGGCAGTAATAGCAAAATTCTCTTTCAGAATCAAAAAGATCCAGTTGGTAAGTATGTGTGACGTTGACCAAAGGTTTTTGGGTAATAAGCACCATTCAGGACTTATGAAATATCTGAAGTTTTAAAGAAAGAAAATACTATATATTTAATTTTCAATTTAAGTATAAAAGTAACAAAAAAAGTAACTCAATGGAGCCCATCATTGTGGTTGTGAGAAATTATTCTCTGTCTAGGCTCACATGATCTCTGTTTAGTGTAGACATTTTAGTCCTTTGAATAACAGACCCTTCACAATGGTACCAAAATGATGTGAGTTAATGCAATATACTCCTTTTTTGCTGAATCAGTTCTGATATACTGATGCAATTACTATTATTCTGTCAGTACCGGATCCTGTGATTTTACTGATGAAGTTCTTAATCTCTAGATAAAGGCATTGACTGGTTGATTGACAGTAAAGTATATTTGTTTGAAATACATTTTAATTTCTTGCACTTGACAGTCTACTGAATTCACTACTGATCCTTGAAACAATGCCTTAAAACAATCCACATTCAGCTTGCATTAAACTGCAAAAGACTAGAATTCTCTATCAACAACTCTCTTGCTTCTAGCATAAATCATAAACTCCTAGGTTGACTTCAAGCTCCTCAATTGACTTCATATTCTAAGGAAGTATGCTAGCTAACCATAGACTAAATTAGTTATGGTATGCCCTCTATAAAAACAGGCTTTTTGAAATGACAGTGAAATAACCAATCAAGGGCATAGAGCAAAAATTTTTAACCTTTGTCCTGTCCTTGACCCCTTTGGTTATCTGGCGAAGCCAAGAGACTCCTCAGAATCATATTTAAATGCTTTACTTTTTATTTAAATGTATTTACTTTTAATTAATTAATTAAATTTTAGTTTTCAACATTCACTTTCATAAGGTTTTGAGCTACAAATTTTCTCCCCTTCCCTCCCCTCTCCCCTCCTCAAAATAGCATACGATCTGATATAGGCTTTACATACACTAAATGTATTTATTTTAAGTGTTCTAAAATAAAATACATAGGGGCAGCTAGGTGGCACAGTGGATAGAGTACTAGCCCTGAAGTCAGGAGGACCTGAGTTCGAATTTGGCCTCAGACCAAACACTTGGCACTTATTAACTGTGTGACCCTGGGCAAGTCCCTTAACCCCAATTGCCTAAAAACAAAAATGAAATAAAATAAAATACATAGGATTACAAAGGAAACCAATTATATTAAAATAGCTATCAAGATATGTATATATATATATATATACATACATATATACACACACACATATATATGTATGTATATATATGCATACATACACATACATATATTCACACATACATACACACACACACACACACACATATATATATATATATACATATATATATGTATATATATATATATATATATAACATTTTTAAAGAACCCTTGGCATAGAGAAACAGGGAAACAGATTTATAGTTTCTTTCTGGATAAGAGAAGTATAACTGGCACCTTAAGAGAAAGAAAGATTTTTTTCTTGAACTAACCAGCAATTGTTTCAACCCTTAGTTTCTCTTTATTCATGGACTCATGGCATGATTTCTCTTGAACATTATTGCTGATCCACAGCCACAAATATTCTGGTTTAAAGTTAAAAAGAGAGAGAAATCTCTATATGCTATCGTGTTTTATTCCTAACTTTGGTTGTTGTATCACCTCACTGACTTCTTGTACTTACTTGATTTTTTCAGAGAGTAAGAATTACCACATAGTTCATTGCCATCTTAAACACAAAAACCTTGTCCAAAAAAAAAGAAAAGAATATACCTGATTTACAATGCCACGTTGACTATTCAGGTTGTAGAGCAAGTAGGACAAAACATGATGGAAATGATTGATTTGGCTTTCCAATGAAAGCATTCTACTTTTGAATCTGTAAAAATCAATGTACTTTGCTAGCCTTTCAGCAATTTTTAAGTTTCGGGAATATGGAAGAAGTTTATTTCTTTGTGAAGTGGTTTTGTTTTTATTAGAGAGAATTCAATAAAGGTGTTGCATCATGGAGACTTGGAATAAATCAATCTTTTCATGTAATCCATGGAGTAAACTTCAGATAAAAAGTAATACAGTTAACAACTCTTTTCTTCATGCTGTTTGGTCTTGGATGCAGCATGCAATTGAAATTCATTTTAGAGGTGAAAATTAAAAGACAGATTGGAATGCTAACATTTCAGTGTGGTAGAAGGTAGGGGAAAAAAAAGGAACAAGGGAATAAATATGCAAGATTATGACCACATAAAACAGCCCTAATGGGGAACAAAGCAATCCCATCTGTGCTTATCTAGAGTTGTATAGAATATTTTATCCTGAAAGGTGAATATGTTAGTGACATTACAAGCAAATGAAGTCCAAACTATGTAATTTGGTAACCTAGAGATTAGACCTAAATTTTAATTTATATGTTCATTCCTGTAATTGGAATAACCTTACCCTTAGTAATTTAAAATTCTAATTTCAGTGTTGAAATAAATGGGAAAAAGGCTTTATTTATCAAATGTATTTTACAGCAACTAAATTAGTATTCATACTATTGGTCTACAGAGCTACTAATGTTATCATCAAAATAATTTCTTTATTATTAAATATTTTTTCATAAGTTATTTTCTACAATGACCAAATTCTCCAAAGAATTTTAACACACACACACACACACACACACACACACAAAACCCCATTTCTCACACATAGTAGCTGTATGACCATGCTGTCATTTTACCTCAGCAGGATCCTTAAAGGTGGAAGGGGAAGAACAGATTCCAAGAAAGACTAATAGAGAGAATAGATAATACCAATAAAAAAGATAATTTCTCTCCTTTATTAGGTAGTTTATTATAACACACACACAATCTTCATCGTCACCCCTGTCTTCATACTTGGAGACAAATATACAGGCAGTTCTTGCTTTAGATAAGCGGACTTTCATAGACCGCTATGTAAAGTGATTCTTATGTACTGTGAATTTGCCCTAGGAGTGGGAAAGAGTAGGAGGCAGGAAGGGGGCCTTGCGCCCATGCAGAAAAGGATGGGCACATGTCTCATGCTTTGGGGTGGGGACAGGGAAGTGAGAGAAAGGGGAAGAACAAGCAGAACCATAGCCAGTCACATAAAGGCCTGGCCAAATCCAAGAGAAAGAACAGGGGAAGGTGGGGGCAGACATGTGGGGGCCAGACATAAACACAGGCAGGACAGAATGGGCAGTATGTGAGGCTGGAGACAGACATGTAGTATCTGAGTGGATAGACGGAAGGCAGACACTCAGGGTGGACACATGGGTGGCGGACGGAGTGGGGCTCCATGCCCCTCTCCACGCAGGAGGTCTCAAGCCAAGCTATCATCACGGCCAAGAGGGTCGCTAGTCCCTTCCGCTTTCACGTGAAGGTTGTTTGGTTGGTTGGTTTGATTTGGTGTCAGGGTGGTGAAAGGCTGTGGAGTGTGGAGCTGAGGAGCAGGAGCAGAGAGAAAGCACAGTACTGTACAGTAAAGGTAATAGGAGAGGGTTTGGGGAGGAGATAATGCAGATTTCTTTCAGAATTCTTTAAGTCAAATTTTTAGAATGCAAATTAATGTAAAGCAAGAATGCTCTATACAAGTTGAGGCTACCTCAAATACCCTGTTCTCCATTTTTTTTAGCCTACTGAACCCCACTATCAAAAATTTTACTTTACCTCAGCAACCCAAAGGAACACATTAGATGTTATCATCACTCATAATGGTGACAGCTACACAATTTTAAACTTTGACATTTCCTCTTCTAAAAATAAATTCTTGCCCTCATATCTTTTTGACTTACTTTTCTTAGACCTACTCTTTATACTTATTGCACCCTTCAGTCCCCTTAACTCTCAATGGACTCCTCTTCCAGTTATAGATCATTCTTGAACTCATTCCTCAATGATTAGTATACTCTCACCTCTTCATACTCTCCCTTTCTGAGTCATTCTGAACTCCCAGTTATCATTTTAAAAGAAACCCTATTCCCCATTTCCCCATTCACTTCTCCTTTATTACCTTCAACTGCAACCTTACACCTCACACTGTTTCACTACAGATCTATCCACCTCTTCTACTACTCTCTGGAACATCTGCTCCATAGTTAACAAACCTGATTTTATCTTAAACTTTTCCTTTCTCAACCTTTCTATCTTTTGACACACTGAGACTTGACTTTCTCCTGATAACACAGCCTTCCTATCTAAACATTTCTAGTATTTATTGGTCTTTCACTCATAACCAACCACCAACTTGCTGGTCATGGTGGAGGAGTCTAGATATTCCTTGTTCCTCATTGCTACTTCCTGATTTGCCCTACCACCATCACTTAGTAACCTTGTCTCTAATATTCATTCAATCCTTACTTATCACCTAGTCATTCAATACAATTGATCACCCATCATTATATACTAAATCCCAGAGCATTTTACTTCATTTCTCAATGAATTTAATGGATTGCCCAAAGTCATTCTTTCCACCCCAACCCCTGCCCTCATGTTTGGGGATTTCAACATGTGTACTGATACTATGTGTAACACTCTGAGTCTCTCAATTTGCTCATTTTCCCATGATCTTCTAGTCCAGTAGACCTCAGTTACACACAGAGATAGTTATACCCTTGATCTTACTAACTCTACAAGTGTTCCACTTCCATGTTAATGAACTCTGAAATTCCTTTATATAATGATAATCTTTTATCTTTCTATCTTTCCCTCTGCTTTACCACTCCTAAATCTGTTTTTTGTCTTTACCATGACTTCTAATCCCTTACCCTCCAGTTGTTTTTAGTTAGTTTGTTTTTAATAGGCATCATCCCTATACTAGTTACGTTCTCATCCCTTACTTATTTTTGCCTTTTGGACAAACCAGTTGAACTCCACACTTAATTCCCTCCATTCACACTTATGTATCTTGCTCTCTCATCCTATTAGTAATCGTGACTTGACAAGCCCCTACCTTGTGTTATCTCCATCATCAATTGTCTTTAC